AAAATAAATAATGATATAGTTGAACAAGTACCTTGGGTAAAATTCCTAGGTGTATTAATTGATCAAGAGTTGACACGGAAGAATCACATCAACTCCGTTCTGAAAAACATAATTAAATCTGCGGGTCTGATTGCTAAACTAAGACATTTTACGAACAAAAACACTTCGAAATTGATTTATTATGCATTGGTCTATCCATACCTCACGTACGGAAATCTAGTTTGGGAAAGTACATACCCAACAAGGTTACAAAAGTTACTAAATGTGCAAAAGAAAATTGTACGACTAATCTGTTTTAAATCTTATATGGATCATTCTGAACCAATATTTTTACAATTGAAAATCTTGGATATCTACAAAATTAATGATTATCTATGCAGCTTATTCATGTATCGCTTCAATTATTGTCAAAATTTCCCGGACTTTTATAATGATTACTTCAAACAAAATAACGAATTATACAACTATAATACTCGAAATTCTACCAAGTTACATGTGAGCTATAAGAGAACAAACTATCGCAAATACACTGTATTTAACAAAGGAGTTTCTATATGGAATTGCCTTGATGAAGAAATTAAAAATATTAAATCATATTTTTCTTTTAAGAAAACTGCAAAATCGTATTACTTGATGTCTAGTTGATGTAAATATTTCAGGAATATTAATGACAGTATTCTGTAATGTACTAAATATTCCTTAAACATTTTCCATATTTGTTTGTAAATAGTTTGTGTTTTTCATTGCAAATTGTCCTTATGTACATAATCTATTTTTATATTACTGAACACTAAAACTATATGGGCCTCGTCTTAAAAGTCCAATAGGATTTCCAGAGGTCTCTAGCCCGTTTATATATTCTTAAATATTCAACTTGTAAATATTATTTGTGGGTAAATAAAACTAATCTTTTAAATGTGGAATGCAAATATTTAAAAATATATAATGAATTTTTTAATAGTGCCAGTTTCACCAATAGTATTTTAATGTGCATGCTGCCAGACAAACTGTCCGGCAAGGAAACAGTTGTGCCGGACAATTACCTTTTCGTACCGGACAATGTCCGTGACCGGCCGCTTATTTTCAGGCTTGAGGAAGCCTAATCAGTAGTAAATACTGTTAGCAATAAGGATCCTGGTCTGGCATTAATACAATGAGTTAACACATGGGCAGATAGTCGGATAACTCGGATTAACCCATCAAGTGCTAGCACTCTATCCTTGATGAGTAAAATCGTCTGGTAATTAATCGACAGAGTAAAAATAAGATAGAGTAAAAATAAGACAGCGTAAAATCATCTGGCGTTAGACAGAGTAAAATAATAAAGTAGCTAGGGCACAATGCAACTTATAAGATAAAGTACAGTATTTCAACACATATTCATCCGAAAGCCTGTTGCCTTTTTAGTTAAACAAGTAAGCCCTACATTGAGAGGTTTTGATATTGTTCATGCAATTAGGACACCAACCACGGCAGCTTATTGTAGAATATTATGTAGTATGTAGAGAAGAGCTCACAATCTTGAATATATAAAATAAATTCACAACACAATAAATCTCCTTCCTGCATGAAGGTTATTTCTATTGAGAAGAAAGCCTGTGTTTCTAATGCCCGTGCAACCCGCAGCCCAGTATATATATAGGGCGCTTTCCATTAACACGGCCAAACCGGTCAATTGTTGAATGGAACACAAGACGTTTGGGCTTCAAACCTATCTGACCGTAAAATTTAGATAAAATCAGAATGAGGTCCATTTTCGCTAGGATTTGAGAAATATAGATGAGATGTTTCCATTTATACAGAGAAAAAATTCAGGTCTGACCGGTCATGCCATCAAATGGAAAACGCCCATAGTCTACTAACCTTGATGAAATCTGAGCACTTTGTACATTAGAGGGGCCAATCTGCATATAAAATAGACAGTACAGAATGAGAAATCATTGAGTTACAGGTAGACTCTATCTTTGCTGTAGATGTGGTTATACAGTAGCCTAAATAGCACACCTACGGTACTGTAGGTGGGCTGGTGGGGTTATAGCCCTTACTGTACCTCTTAACCTTGTGAATAGTATTGAAAGTTTGAAAGTGTCAGAATAAAATGAAAGTGTTTGATATGGTGAACGTGAAAGTTTTTTTTCTGCACTTCACTGAATGTTTGGCCATGGATAATCCAAGTGACAATATACACACTTTTTATACCTTCGATTCCTGGTAGAAAATTTAGTGTTGCACTTCAATACTATAATAATAATGAGGACTTTATTATTAAATGGATATGTTACAGTAGCTTATTGAATTGTCTGTACCAGTGCAGGTAGTGTCAATAATATGAACAAGATTTTATTGGTAGGGATGTAACTACCTGAAAAATATAAGGACAATTTCTACGTTTTGAGCAAAGGCTCTTCGTCTGGAAGGGCGACGGGCCCTCACTCAAAACGTCGAAATTCTCTGTAGACCAAAAATGATTAAACCTCAAGACCTGGTCGACAATGTACAGGGTCTGAAATTTATATTTTTCTCAGTATCCAACTGGGATACCAGGATTCAAAGTTTAGTATCCCCCTGAGAATCCAGTATTCCACTTCTGGATACTGGTTATCATAAGTATTATACCCCGTCCCATCCAAATAAGTTTCCATAACTCTCACTGTTACAAATTACAATAACAACAGGAGATTCAACAGCCAATAACTAAACAATTCATTACAGGGTCTTAGCTAGAAGGCCGTGTTGGCCGTGTTATTGCGGCCAAAAATGTAAAAACACGGCTAGATGAAATGAACGCGGCTTCATTATTTAGTTTTGGCCGTGCATGTAGGTTCATAAAATAAGGTGTTGCTACTTAACAACATACAGAATTTCTTTGTAAAATCTACTGTATTTTTTTTTGTGTTGGTGTTGTGCACTCAGGTGAATATGATATGTTTGTGATGTTACTCTGAGTGCATATCCACACCGGGCGAGCTTGAAAAATATGCCCGGCCACGGTGGGAATCGAACCTACGACCTTTGGAATACTAGCCCAATGCTCTGCCAACTGAGCTACGCAGGGGCGAAACTAGCCCCTTTTAATTAGGGGGGTGTCTGGCAGAATTGCTCTGCCAAAACCAGTGATGCCCTGCCATGGGCGTACCGGAAGGAAAAAATTAGGGGGGCGGAAACAAAATTGCCCGACTTTTCAAAAATTGCCCGACTAATTTTCGATCTGTGTACCATTTTAGGGGTCAAAAAAATTTTCCGGACAACCTATATTTTTCGGAACATAACACAAATTTTCGAAAAATCACACAATTTGCGAAAAAATTGACTTAATTTTAGATAAAATTGACTGAATTTGTCCCATTTTTTTTTTCAAACCAAAATTGCCCGACTGTTGATCGAATATTGCCCCCGCCCGGTACGCCTATGTGCTATCATTTATTTATAAGAGACCTTTGATTGCCCTGCCAATCGGGATGATTCGTATTTTGGGGGGGTGCAACACCCCCCCATACCCCCCCTCAAGTTTTGCCCCTGGAGCTACGTGGTCAGGTCGGTTCGAGTAAGTGATATTTCGGAACAGAATCTAGTTCCTTCGATACCAATGTAATCTTGTAATATATTTTTTTTGCATTGGGCTAGTATTCCAAAGGTCGTAGGTTCGATTCCCACCGTGGCCGGGCATATTTTTCAAGCTCGCCCGGTGTGGATATGCACTCAGAGTAACATCACAAACATATCTACTGTAGTTGTTGAAATTGGTAAAAGTGATCCGTGATGTTTTAATGTTTTGATGGATAATGGGCACCATAGTGTTTTTAAAATGGTTTTAAATGCCCAAGAATTGCTAAAATACAGTAATTAATTATAATGTCAGTGCGAAATATGAGCGTATGCTCGCCTTGTATTTGGTTGAAAAGCATAGAACGACCACAGGTATAGTCTATTGTTGACATTAAGTATAACTGGAATCGTGTTTTTGGCTATTCAAGGCAATTGACATGGGCACATCCTGGAAATTTAGAAACACGCCCAAACTATAAAATGCTAGCTAAGACCCTGATTCATTAATACACTAAAATCTACATAATCCTTCAACAAACTTCTATTATGCCAGTCCTCAATGAGGAAAGACGGGTGACAAACTGATAGTATTCGAAAGCTATCAGGAGCCTGTCAAAGGTGTTTAACATTTTCTTAATGTTTGACTAAATTTCTTAGTATTCAGTCTGGATACAAGCCATTCACAGTTTGGTATCCAACACCAAATTTTTGGTATCCCATGGATATCGGGATACCGTAAATTTCAGACCCTGATGTATGTACTGTACATAGTGTCTAGCTCTAAAGATTAGGGCAAGCACATCAACCTGCATAATCGACAATCAATAGATCATTGTCATTATTATTTTCATTTTCTTTGGTGACTGACCTCATTAAACTTCTCTTCATTTTGTTGATTTACCCAGTTTCGTACAATGGCAAATGATCTGACAGTTGTCATACGTTTCCTAAAAAAAAATAACGTTCAATTTTTAAAGTGGAAGTCAAGTCCGCATGTAAACAAACGGTTTGTTTACATTTTGAACTGTTGTATTTTTTTTAAAATATGATGTACTGTCTGAATATCTAACACCATTTTGGTTCACTGTGCTTCTCATTAAGTCTCATTGCGCCCCCATGCGCCCTGGAATTGGGAACGGGGTAAGTCTCATTGCGCCCTCATGCGCCCTGGATGACACGTCAACTTCCGGGCACGATTGTCTAGCGCGTGTTTATCGGGTTGCCTAGCAACGGTCACGAGTATAAAGTGCAAAATTCGGGCTTTCAAACGATACATCATGCGAGAAAATTGATCAAAAGGTTGTGAAGATTTTCGATTTTAAAACTCTATTTTTTTGCAAAACCTGTGACAACCGCAAAGTGTCACAAGATAGGACTTTGCAGCAAGTTTTAAGGATGAAAAAGAAGACGTTTTTAAAGAGTTTTACATATAAAATATATTGTAAAACATAAGGGAGTGTGCATATGTTTCAAGTCAAGTTCTTGTCCAAATCAAGTCGCGCGATTTTCAGCCAGAAAAACAGCAATTTCTTTCAATCTAACGGAAAAGTGAAGTGGGAAATCGCAAGAAACATGAACACTAAATCCAAGTGAGTAGTTACGATTTTTTTGAGCGTGTTTTTGAATGAAAATACCTGGCATGTTTTCATGAAATATGATATAGCATTAAAGCAAGTTCAATCTAGTTTAAAACTAAGTTTTTAGAAGAACTTTTCGTGCATTTTATGGCATGATTTCGACTGTTTTCGTGACCCTCCTGTTGGTCGTCTTGCTCAAGTTGTTATTTTAGCCGAAGTACTTTCAGAAGACAGTAGGTTCAACTTGTCATGTGCGTATATACATTTTTGGCAAGAAAATTTTTGAGTAAAACCGCATTAAAACTAAGTAGAATACTCTACAATGAATACTATATCTGTTTCTATAAACTTTGTCTCGAAACGAGCTCTCATTTCAGAGATAATGTGGTTTAAAATCAGTGTATTGAATTATGCCGTTACTTGGCGCGTGCGAATTCTGAACCTTCATGACAGGGATTTGAAAAGCTTCTAAAATACACTTTATCGCTTCATATATCCCCATAAAATTTTTAAATCAATAAAGCACATCATAAAACTAATGTACGCTCATTTTCTAAGAAGTACTCATCGATTACCTGAAGGAAAAGTTTAAAATAGGTCAGGAGAGTAGTCTACAAAATGCCGTTCTCCTCTGAAATGGCTTCTTTTGCGGGAAGCCATTAAATTTATGTACTTTCCAAAATTGTAATTTAGTCGCTTTTTTGGTCTCATTGTTCACTTATTTATCATGGAATTACTTCGCTTGAGCTCTTTTAATAATATCTGCAAGATGCTTTGCTATTTGGTGAAATAAAAGCTATATTTTTAGCAGTTTATCTTTTGAAAACTGCATGCGCAACAAAGTGTCACCAATGTGTTTACTCTCGTCTGACAAACAACCAAAGATGAAATACTTTATTTCACTCTTTTATAGCGATCTAAAATGCCTAAATATTAGATTATTCATTTTATTTGAGCATACATACTATATTTTTATACAATTGGTCCTTGAAAAGGACTTATTTCAAGCTAGAGTCAGATTTCAAACTAGAGTCAGATTTCAAAAGAAACCGCCTGTCTGACATTTTACAGCAACCTACATTGGCGCGCACGACGTTTTAGCCACAAATCCGTTGTTTTCTCAACAGAAACAAAAGGAATTTCAGTTAAAATTCTTACCTGATGAATATTCAAAAGTGTTTATCTCTTTTTGGCGACTTTCAGTGCTCTAGCTTAATAGCGAAATAAAAAGCCTTTTGTTTTGTCACCGCACGCTGCGTTT